AGATCTGTCAATATTTGCTTTATATATTTAGGTGCTCTGTCCAGCATGTTTTCTAATATGAAGATATTAGTAATATCTTACCTTTAATATAGTGCTTTTTGATTTATACAGTGCTTTCCTATATGTCACAAGTTATTTCACCCTTTAACAATTTAAGCCTAAAAGTCATTAAATTCCAGTTACCTTGACTTCTTATTCACCAAGCAACAGCCTGGTACTAATTTAATTTCATAGGTGGGCTCTACTCTTAGAAGAAAATGTACTAACAGCCAATTTCTTTGCAGTTATTTCTTCATGTTGATGAATTCCTTGGCCTTATGGCCTATAACCTAGTCTCTGCTGAATTTTCATCACTTTTACTGGACTAATCTTTCGTGGTAAAATCAAGCCCCAGAGCCTACAGGTGCAGAGAGGCTGCAGAGCTGACCCCACATGAAACAGACACTTTTTGGAGGACTGGTTTTGAACAATTCAATTCAATAGACAATTATATGGTCCCCGCTATGTGCCAGGTATTGGGGAGGGAATCAGAGATAAACGAGACAGTTCCTTCCATCAAAGGGCTCAGAGGCTAGCCCCTGAGGCAGCGTTTAAGTGTGGCCCCCGATTATCTACAATAGAATTACCTGAAGGACTTGTTATAAATGTAGATTCTAGGTCCTTATCAAGACCCTAATTGGAAGTTTTGAGGTGGGGTCCAGAAATGTAAATCTTTAGCAAGATCCTAAGTAAATCTCATGCCCACAAAATTAGAGAACCACTGATTTTGGATAATTACTTGTTTAATTTTCTGTCTTTGGCCTCTGAACTGGGTGTAGTGGCCCTCGTCTTTGCTGCCTTCTTTTTTTTTTTTTTTTCCCTGCTTTTTCTCCCCAAATCCCCCTAGTACATAGTTGTATATTCTTGGTAGTGGGTCCTTCTAGTTGTGGCACGTGGGACACCACTTCAGTGTGGCCTGACAAGCGGTGCCATGTCCGTGCCCAGGAACTGAACCAGTGAAACCCTGGGCCACCAAAGTGAAGTGCGCAAACTTAATCACTCAGCCATGCGGCCGGCCCCTCTGCTGCCTTCTGATCATTGGTGGCACTGCCTAGCATGATATCAGATGTCCTCTGCCCATTGACTTATGGAATATGGAAAGTCTCTTGGGGCAGGAAATTTAAACACCCTCCCTATCTCTTGCTCAGCCCCTCTCCCCACCTTCAGGGGGACTGATTCTATTTTCCACAATTCCAATTTGACAGAGCCCTACCTATCAGACTGAAAATTAGACTTCACTTTGGAGATCTGTGTTCCAGGGCCTACTCCAGTCCCCAAGCCCAGACTCTCCCCAGATATTTGTACTTTTAACTATATGATTAATAAACGAATACATTCTTGGGCTACCTTTGGGAATCCATTTGGCAAACCTGGAAATGTGAAAGAGTTAACATTCTGTGGGACAATCTTTGACCAATGTGGGGTGAAAACTTGTGAATAAATGTCCCCTTCTTCCTTCTCCCAGATGTTCTCCTTGGGTCTTTAGAGGGTTCCAGCAGGATCCAGCCCTGGTTGCATACAATGGTGACCAGCTTGTTCAGGTACCCTTGTATTGACTTTCCTTCCAACTGTTTGACTCTTCCCGCCTCCCTGCCTGCAATCTCTCACTTTAGACTCTGCTTTCCAGGGGGAGCTGAGGCTAAAAGAGAGACCCAAAAGTTGAGCTACCACATCAACTGGTAACCACATTTAACAATTCTTGGCAATAAACTCTTGTGAAAAAATCCAACCCAATTTACATTCTCACCATGAGTGTATGAGATTTCCATTTCCCTATTATTTATTCAACATGGAATATTATCAAATCTAGGTTAATAGTTTTGCACTTTCTAGCCATGTGATCTTGAAAAAGCCGTTTTTACCTCTGAGTCTTGTTTCATAACACATAGAATGGGAAGAATAATTGCTGCCTTAGTAAAAATAAAAAGTCATCATGGCTGTGAAAGAATCCTTCAGAGTAAATTCACAATAACACCTAAAAATATTGGACTTAGTCAGACTTTTGTCAAATGAGATCTTGTGGAGAGGGCTTGGATTTGGGCTCCCACATCAGAGGTTCAGAGTCCTCTATAGCTTAGGAGTCCTGGAGAATTACTTTGACCATTGCTGACCATGAGGAAGGCTGACCTCCTCATTTTGGTTTTCTGCTTGAAAACTGCATTAATCACAGGTTTTCACGCATTGCATCTGCAGACTCATCTAAAAGTCATAGTAAGGGAACAGAGGAAGAAAAAGAAAAGCCAGTGTTTCATTAACACCCATCCTGGCCTCTCTGGAAATATGTTGGCAGTGCTACCTAAAGCTATTTCCCAAGTGTGAGCATGGCAGAGGGCTGCGGGTATGCCTTCATCCTGGGAAACCTGTCCATGGACTCTGCTTTGAATTGTTTTTTACAGAGCTTCTTCTCTTTTCCTGTATACCTGCCTCTCTTATTGTAGCTGTACCCTTACCCTCACTCAGCTGCCCTAGCCGAAAACCTGGGGACTTCGAGTGGCTCTTTCCTTTCGATTCTACCTCCTGGATAGCTCTAACACCTGCCTGTCTTCATTCATTCTCACAACCACTGCCTTAATTCAGAGATCTATCGTTTTTCTTCTGGACTTACTGCAGCCTCCTGACTGCCACTCAATTTACTCTCTATGCTGAGCCAGAGTGACATTTCTAAAAGCCATATGTTGATCTCGATCCATGTTTGTTGTTGTTCAGCTTCTTTCAGCAGCTCTCCATCACCTACAAACTCTTGGGATAATGTATAAGACCCTCCAGGATCTGGCGCCTGCTTACCTCTTCAGTCTCATCTCCCAGACACATCTCACTTGCTTTCCAGGCCTATCTAACTCTTGCTGATCTACCAGGAAGAATGTGCAGTGTCCTCTTATGCCTTCTTGCCCCTGTACATGCAGTTCCCTCGGAGAGAAATAGCCTTTATCTGCTTGCCGGCTCAAGGTTAACTTCCTCTGTGAAGCCTTGTCTGTTCCAACAAAGAGGAAATTGACCATGCTTGCCTTTGTCCCACAACTGTGTCCTGGTAGAGCAACTTGCATACTGCATTGTCTTCATTTCTTAACAAATCTGTCTTCCCTTCCAGACCATAGCCTGGCAAAGGGCCTGACCCAGAATAGGTATTCAATAAATTTTGTTTGATGCCTTTTACATCTGGGAATATTTCTTACATCTCAGATTGCTAAATTGGCTAACATTACCTGATAGGTATTATTCACAAGTTACTTTACAGACATACCCTATGAGGCAGGTCCTATAACTATTAACCCAATTTTATAGATGAGGAAACAGGCTCAGAGAGGTTAGGTATTTGCCCAAGGTCAGACCAATAGGAAGTGGATGAACCCAGGTCATCTAACTCCATACACTACTATCTTACCGATTATGCTATAGCCCATGAGTTGGCAAACTTTTTCTGTAAAGGGCCAGATAGAAAATATTTTAGGCTTTGCAGGCCAAGAAGCAAAATCAAGGATATTAGGTAGCTGTAAAGAGAGAAAACTTCTGTTCCATCCCTCTGGATTGCCAGTTGCTGTGTGGTGAGCACACTTTGCCCCAAGTTGGAGACCTTCTCTCAGCCAAAAAGGAGAAAGGCCAGTGGCAAGGGGGGTGAGGAAAAGTGGGAGAGGAGAGCGAGGCTGCCGCTATGGTCAGTTTAACTTTCTTCCCCAATGACTCAGACCCAGGGGCTCTACTCTCCTCCCAGGAGAGCCTGGCCATCTCAGCTGGTGCAGACTGAAATTCCCCTGCTCAGTGACTGGCAGTTGCCAGTAGCACAATCCCTAGAGTGTAGGTAGGGACCAGCATGGGCCCTGGGCAGCAGCAAGGTGCAGGCACTGGCGTGGGAGACAGGCACTGGGAGCGGAGAGAAAAAGAGCCAGGCATGAGGACACCTGGCTTGGTTTCTGGGGCTCACGGTGCCACCTGCTTCAGTGGTGCTTGCGGGTTTTACAAAAACAGGCAGCAGCTGTGGGCTGAAATTCACTGACACCTGCTGTAGCCTCCTGGTGTAGTACACTGAGTAACTTAGAATTATTACCTACTAGAAAGATCTTTGTTCAATTTCTGTATTTTTCAGGTAGATAAAATGAGATCCAGAGAGTCAAAGGAACATACCCACAGGTTTCCTCACTCCTGGTACAATATTCTGTTTTCTAATTCCAAAAATGCAGTTCCCCTCTTCACTGCTCATCGGTTAATTCATATCCACAGCTGAGTAAGAAACCGGTTGCTCTTCTAACAATACTTAAAAAGAAAAGTAAGCAAATGCAAGGGAAAACAGGATGCTCATGGATAACCTATTCCATTTTGCCCTGGGAGTTGGCTGGAATTGCGTCATTCTCATTTTGAGGACATGAGTTTCACATCTCTAGAATGCTCTCCCCATGGCTTCAAAGGGAAGTTCCCAAGTGCACCTCATGCCTAACTAAAGCTTGTCCCCCTCACTCTCCCTTCTCTGTGCTTAGTAGGCTAATGGGAAGCTTATGTCAATTCTGTGGCACCATGGAACACTTCCTCTGTGGTCTGCTGAGGATACAGAGACGTGAGCTCGGCGTCCTTTTTCTGCTGGAGGATGCACAGGGTGACCTCGGGTTAATCACTGCAGCTGTTACCCAATTACTGCCAGTGCTTCAGGAAGACCTCTGGCCCCTGAAGTGCTGGCTCATAAGAGACAGCTCATGGCCACGCACTCTCTCTATTCCACTCCTCTCTTCCTCCCACATTTGCCCACTCACCCCTGGGAAATGCAACTGGCTCAAGAGACCATAGCTCTCAGGAAAATCAGGGTAAAATCATGGAACAGTAGAGCCAGAAGTGACCTCAGAGATTAACTAGTCCACTCACTTATTTTAAAGATGGAGAACTAAAGCCCAGAGAAGGGAAGGGACTTGCCCAAGGCCACAGAGGAAGTTAGAGGTGAAGCCAGGGTGTGAACGCAGGTCTTGGTTCCAAGTTTATTTCTTTCACTACACTTGGCTGGACCTTCACCTCTACACAATTCACCACCCAACCCCAAGGCTTGCTTCTAGAAGACCACCAGTGTATTGCTTGTTGAATTGAGTAAAATAGAACTGAAGATTGAATTTCTGCCTAACTCAGTGCCTGATCCAGAGCAGGTGCTCAATAAGTATTTGTTGGATGGATGAGTACTATCTTCAAATATCTGGAACTTGTTGGCAGATGGAAGCTGGTAACTAAAAATTGTTTTCTTTTTGATCTTCAAGCAGTTCCTTCTTTTAGAAGGTAGAGGAAGAAACGAGGGAAGGGAGGCAGACCACAATTTTAAATAGGGTGGCCAGGGTGGGCCTCATGAGGTCAGAACTGAGCAAAGATTTAAAGGATATGGGGAGTGGGGCAAGTGGATATCTTGGGGAAGAGCCTCCAAGCAGAGCTGAGCAAAGTTTCTAAGCCTAACTGAGGAAGAGCAAGGAGGCAGTGGGGCTGTTAAGGAATGAGCATGGGGAGAGGTATAAGAGATGAAGTCCCAGCGGTAAGGGGGGAGAAGGGGCGCAGCTCATGTAGAATCTTGAAAGGCATCTTAAGGATGTTGCATTTTGCTTTGAAAGAAGTGGAGAGCTGTTGCGGGATTTCATGCAGAGCAGTGACATGATTTAAAGTACATTTAACAAGGATCACTCTGGGAATGGGACTGTAGAAAGATAGGAATAGAAACAGGGGTCAGTCTGGAGATTGCTGCAGTGATCCAGGCAAGAGGTGGCAGTGCTATGGATCAGGGATTCTAACTATATTTTGAAGGTAGAGCCTATGGGATTTCCTGATGCCCAACGCTGGGCAGTTGTGTATATAGACTGCTGTGTGAAGGGTGGCTTGGAGTTACGCATCAGGGAGGCTGTTGTTGGGCCAGGGGATAATCCATTTCATGGTTTGGCCGAATTCAGCCACTGGGAGTTTATTTTCTCAGAAATTATCAAGGCTATCTGTTTCTCCTCTGTGAGGTCAAAATAAAAACATCACAGAAAGGATGAAAAACTTACATGTTCAGAAGAAGGAGATGAAGCTAACTTGTTGAGTTTCTAGTTTACTTTTCCAAATCACCAAGCAGGATGATTACTACACCGGAAAACATATTTCACAAGAGGCCCAGAGAAAGAGCTGGTGGTTGCTAAACACATTAATCAGATTTTCAGCACTCCAGCTCGAGCTGAGAAAGAGAAGCTGGTGTGGGAGGGCCCAGACCATTTGGAGTGGTGCCAAGGGCTATTCCAAACAAGCTGTGCCCGTTGCTTTGAAGGTAAAATGAGTTAATAAAAGTTAAAGTGGGTAGAGCATAGGACATCGTAAGTTGCTGAGTAAGTATTTGTTATTCGGCCGCGGAGTTTAGCCCACCCCGTCATTTACAAGTGGGAAAACAGGTTCCGAGAGAGGAAGTGGTTTGTCTGAAGTGCCCTGGATCTCCAGCTCACTTAATGAGCACTAAGTTGATTTGTTTTATTATGTTGGGGTGACTGGGACTTCCAGTCTTGCCCACACTCCCGCCTGTGCCTTTTGGCTGCCTCTTACAATTCATTTCAGGAAGCTCGTTTAGGCTTTGAGCTGTCAGTGTCTCTGATCGTCTGAGAATCTGCCCTCACAGGAAATGTTCTGTTACTCTCGAGCACCTGTGGTTGGGATGTTTCATTAGTCTTGAGCGCCTGTGGAAGCCAGCCTCCAAACTGGCCCTCAGTGGTATTTATACCCTGTGTACTCACCTTTCCCATTGTCTCAGGGTTGGTCTGTGTGACCAATAGCATACAACAGAAGTGGTGGTGTGACACTTCTGACGTTAGATTATAAAAGTCTGTGGTTTCTGTGTTCTGTGTTCTCTTGCTGGCATGCGTGCACAAGCACACACACACTTAAAATCTTGGATCACTTGTTTGGGAGAAGCCAGCTGCCACTTTTGTGAGTAGCCCTATGGAGAGGCCCATGGGGCAGGGAACTGAAGCCTTGGCTAACAGCTAGTGAGGACTGAGGCCTGCCAATAACCAGTACGTGAGCTTGGAAGTGGATTCCCCAGCTCCAGACAAGGACTGGGATGACTGCAGACCCAGCTGGCAGCCTGACTGCAATCTCATGAGAGACCCTGAGCTAGGACCCCCTAGCTAAGCAGCTCCTGGACTGCCACCCTTAGAAACTGTGAGATAACATATGTTTGTTTTAAGCTGCTAACTTTTGAGATACTTTGTTACACAGCAATAGGTAACATACAACCACCTTACCTTCCCGCGGTGGTAACAATTAGCCTTTGTTGCACCATTCACCTCTTTCCACCTCTGCCCCCTCCACCGTCCTTGTCATCACCCTGTCCACTCCCCATGTATCCTTAGCATCAACTGTCTTCTCTGAGGCTGAACCCAGAAGTCATCAACTTGTTAAAATCACTCATGGTACCAAAAGGAAGCAGGTGGTGAGCTAAAATGGAATTTGAGAAAAGTGTAATAAAAAGGAACTATTTGCAAAAGTGTGAGTGGGGTGGAGGGTAATCACCCGGAATACGGAACATGGCAGTACCCAGGGCTAGTAAACGTGGGGTGCTGTTTGTGGCCAGAGGCCTTAAGGGGTGAGGGGAGGGAGCACTTACTGGAACCTTGAGACAGAGAGAGCTGTGTGAAGAGGGCCCCCTGAGAGGAGTTGGGACCTTTAGGTCCAGGACAGAGCCAGGCATTGGCATGCCTGGGTGGAGGGTAGAATGCAAAATACTTCATCTGATCTGCGTTCTCATGTGCAGAACGGGAGTTAGTAACATTTTCACCATAGAATTGTTGTAAGGACCAAGTGATATGATGCATGTAAAACCCTTGCTATGTGGTAAGTGCTAAAGAAGTGTTTTTTAAGTAAATAATAATTTTTTTAAAAAAATAAAGGCAAAGAACTTTATTATAGATTTTTTCCTGAGACCGCATTTACTTCAAAAATTAATAAATTTTTACTGATGGACTGGATTGAAATATCTGCCAGTAATAGGCATTCTTTTCTGTCTCCAGCTGCATGACTCTATGATAATTGAGCACTTTGGAATAGCCATGAGAATTGATTCAAATAATTATCACCACACTAATGAGACCATGTGACTGTCACTCCACTTCAAAGCTATAAAATGGAGCCTTCCATTTCCTTTTCTTTCTTCCTGTCTGCCCAGAAGCTTATTTTATCTCACATTCCGCATGTTTGGAAAATTCCATCACTTTACCTTCTTGACTAATCATTAGTTCAGTGAGGTCTTTCAGCTATAATAAAAAAAGTTGTAATTAAAATAAAAATTCCTGCATCTAGTTTTCAGACTGAAAGCGTATTTCTTTTCAGAGTTAGCAAGCAAGTGGGGCTTCCCAAAGAGTAAGAAGGCACTGTGCCCAGAGATCCGTAGAGCAAAAAGAACCGTAGGAATTTGTCCAGGGGAAGAAGGGAAAGATGGAAAGACACAGGGGACTCAGGAGTCCTTGTGCACGGTGCTTGACTTCTTGGGAAGAACTGAGCTGCTTAGGGACCTGTCAGGAGGGAGCTGGTGTCTGAGCCAGACATGTCCGCCAGTGGAACAGGATGGATCACCCTACATGGATATGCTTTTAACTCAAAACTGTAGTGATCTTATGATCCTTGAGCCTTGGCTTTGAAAGGATTTTGGAAGCACAAGTGACTTCAGAGACTATCTAATTCAGCTCCCTTCTTTCCAGGTTTGGAGCTAAAAGACCTAGATGGGGGGAGGGACTCATTGAAGGTCACGTGGCAAACTAGATAGAGCCAGCACAAAAAGCCACGGTTTAGTACTGCTTCGTGCCGGTTTAGTGCCTTTTACTTTGTGCCCAGGTGCACCCACTTTCCTCTGTCCCTCCAACCCTCCGCCATTCCAATAGAATCCTTCTGCAACGTGTTTTTGCTTGCATACCTCCAGTGTTAGGAAGCTCATGACATCCCAAGAAAGCTCGTACTGTTCCATTTCCAGGCAGTTCTCTTAAAAAATTCTTTCTTAGAGGTTTTCTCAGAATTCCCACAGCCCCCATGAGTACCCACATCTCTAGATCAAACATCCTGATTTCTTGTAATTTGGTCTTTTCTGGGGTCTGTTTTAGAAACTGAGATGAATTTTATACACACAGTTACCTAGTTAATGTTTCCTTCAGACTGTGGTGGCCGGAAGGGAACACAGATGTGATTTTTATGTGTCACACAATTTTATGTGTCAACTTGGCTGGGCCACAGTACCCTAATACTTGGTTAAACACATCTTGGTGTTGCTGGGAAGGTATTTTTTCAGGGAGATTGACTTTTTAATAAGTAGACTTTGAGTAAAGCAGATCACCCTCCATAAGGTGAGTGGGCCTCCTCCAGGCAGTTGAAGGCCCTGAGATAAAGACTGTCCACCTCCGAGGAGAGGAATTCTGCCACAGACAGTGCCTCGAACCTAAGCTGCAACATCAGCTCTTCCCTGGGTCTCTAGCTTGCTGGTCTCCCCTGCGGATTTTGAAGTTGTCAGCCTCCAAAATCATGTGAGCTGATTCCTTAAAATCAGTCTTTTTCTCTCTCTGTCTCTCAGTGTCTGTTTACACACACACACACACACACACACACACACAGTTGGTTCCATTTCTTTGGAGATCCCTGACTTATGCTATGTTTTCAAGCATACAACTTTGCCTTCAGGCACAACCTCAGAATTGGAAAGAAAAGTCTTTATTGACCTCTCATCTTCCTCTCAGCGTCCTATCATTCATTCATTCCACAAGTGGAGCATATGTTCTGCCCCAAGTGCTGCTGATAGAAAGGAAAATATTGTAACCAGAGTTCTGAACTTAGGGCCTTGATAAAGTCAGACCCTGCCCCAAAGCATTAGTGCTTAGAATTTAGGGTGACATAGAATTTGGCTCTGTAGTCAGACAGTCTTGGGTTCATAATTGGCTTTGACATTTACCAGCTGCTGACCTTGCGAAGTCACTCAACACCCCTGAGCCTCAGTTTACCTTCTCCATCTGTAAAAGTAGGGATTTGGATTGGAAGATCTTTAATTTTGGACATACAGTCTCTCCATTTAGTGAAAATTCAGTAAGGGAAGAATTGTAAATAGCATCAGTCAATCAGTAGGATGACAAAGAATACTGAAATAAGACTGACAAATTAGATGGGAAAGTGGTTAACGTTCTATAGGGCAATAAAAACATCTACTTCAGGGGCTGGTCAGGCGATGTAGTGATGGTT